AGTTTGAGTTCCTAAACAAGAATGTTGTTATTTTCCTTTTACTCCTTTTTACAACACTGATGCATTAAAACGGTTCGAAGGATCTTTCATGGCGGTTAAAATGAAGAGTCGGAGTACCCGGCCCGGAGGGTTACCGGGGTCCCACCCTGGAGCCAGGCCTGGGGTTGGGGCCCGTGAGCGAGCGCCTGGTGGCCGGGCTTTCGCCCATGGGGCCCGGCCGGGCCCAGCCCGAACCGGATACATGGGCTCGTCCAACTGTGGACCCACCATCCGCAGGAGGAACATGAAGGGTCCGGTGCAATGCGAATCGGGTGGCAGACCAAGGCGGGAGCCTTGGCGGTCCAATCCCCGGACAAGAAAACTAGTTTTTGGGACATGGAACGTCACCTCGCTGGCGGGGAAGGAGCCGGAGCTTGTGGCAGAGGTTGAGCGGTACCGGCTAGATATAGTCGGACTCACCTCGACACATTGCATTGGCTCTGGAACCCGAGACCTGGAGAGGGGTTGGACACTCTACTTTGCTGGAGTTGCTCCGGGTGAGAGGCGGAGGGCTGGGGTTGGCTTTTTGTTAGCTCCGAGACTCTCTGCCTGTGTGTTGGGGTTTACCCCGGGGGACAAGAGGGTAGCTTCCTTGCGCCTTCGGGTCGGGGAACGGGTCCTGACTGTTGTTTGTGCTTATGGGCCAAATATCAGTTCAGAGTACCCACCCTTTTTGGAGTCCCTGGGACGAGTGCTAGATAGTGCTCCATCAGGGGACTCCATTGTCCTGCTGGGGGACTTCAATGCTCACGTGGGCAATGACAGCTTGACCTGGAGGGGTGTGATTGGGAGGAACAGCCCACCTAATCTGAACTCGAGCGGTGTTTTGTTATTGGACTTCTGTGCAAGCCGCAGTTTGGCCATAACGAACACCATGTTCGAACATAAGGATGCCCACCGGTACACTTGGTACCAGGGCAGCCTAGGTCACAGGTCGATGATAGATTTTGTAGTCGTATCATCTGACCTGCGGCCGTATGTTTTGGACACCCGAGTGAAGAGAGGGGCGGAGCTGTCAACTGATCACCACCTGGTGGTGAGTTGGATCAGATGGCAAGGGAACATGCCGCGTAGACCTGGCAGACCCAAACGCATAGTGAGGGTCTGCTGGGAACGCCTGGCAGAAGAACCTGTCAAGACGGTCTTCAACTCCCACCTCCGGCAGAGCTTTGACCACGTCCCGAGAGCAGTGGGGGACATTGAGTCCGAGTGGGCCTTGTTCCACTCTGCGATTGTCGAGGCGGCTGTTGCTAGCTGTGGCCGTAAGGTGGCCGGTGCCAGTCGTGGTGGCAACCCCCGTACCCGCTGGTGGACACCAGAGGTTCGGGGAGCCGTCAGGCTGAAGAAGGAGGCCTACAGGGCGTGGCTGGTCTGTGGGTCTCCGGAGGCAGCAGACAGGTACCGGATAGCCAAGCGGGGTGCAGCAGTGGCAGTTGCCGAGGCAAAATCTCGGGCGTGGGAGGAGTTTGGTGAGGCCATGGAGAAAGACTATCGATCGGCTCCAAAGAGGTTCTGGCAAACTGTCCGGCGCCTCAGGAGAGGAAGGCAGCAACTCGCTCACACTGTTTACAGTGGGGATGGGGAGCTGCTGACGTCAACTGAGGCTATAGTCGGACGGTGGAAGGAATACTTTGAGGAGCTCCTCAATCCCACCAATGCGCATTCCGAGGAGGAACCAGAGCTGGGAGGCCTGGGGATGGACTGTCCGATCTCGGGGGCAGAAGTTGCTGAGGTAGTCAAACAACTACACAGCGGCGGAGCCCCGGGGGCGGATGAGGTTCGTCCTGGGTATCTCAAGGCTATGGATGTTGTAGGGCTGTCATGGTTGACACGTCTCTACAACATTGCGTGGTCATCGGGGGCAGTTCCTAGGGAGTGGCAGACCGGGGTGGTGGTCCCCATCTTTAAGAAGGGTGACCTGAGGGTGTGTTCCAACTATAGGGGGATCACACTCCTCAGCCTCCCTGGAAAGGTCTACTCCAAGGTACTGGAGAGGAGGGTCCGATCGATAGTTGAATCTCAGATAGAGGAGGAGCAATGTGGTTTTCGTCCTGGCCGTGGAACTGTGGACCAGCTATATACCCTTGCAAGGGTGATGGAGGGGGCATGGGAGTTTGCCCAACCAATCCACATGTGTTTTGTGGATTTGGAGAAGGCTTATGACCGTGTCCCCAGGGGCACCCTGTGGGGGACGCTCCAGGAGTATGGGGTGGGTGGCTTTCTGTTAAGGGCCATTCAGTCCCTTTACCAGAGGAGCGTGAGTTTGGTCCGCATAGCCGGTAGTAAGTCGGACCTGTTCCCAGTGAGGGTTGGACTCCGCCAGGGCTGCCCTTTGTCACCGGTTCTGTTCATCACTTTTATGGACAGAATTTCTAGACGCAGCCGTGGTGTGGAGTGTGTCGAGTTTGGTGGCAGGACAATCTCGTCTCTGCTTTTTGCGGATGATGTGGTCCTCCTAGCTTCATCCAGCTCTGACCTTCAGCTCTTGCTGGGTAGGTTCGCGGCCGAATGTGAAGCGGCTGGGATGAGGATCAGCACCTCCAAATCTGAGACCATGGTTCTCGACCGGAAAAGGGTGGCTTGCCACCTCCGGGTCGGGGGAGAGGTCCTACCTCAAGTGGAAGAGCTTAAGTATCTCGGGGTCTTGTTCACGAGTGAGGGTAGGAGGGATCGGGAGATCGACAGGCGGATTGGTTCGGCGTCTGCAGTGATGCGGACGCTGAGCCGATCTGTCGTGGGGAAGAGGGAGCTGAGCCAGAAAGCCAGGCTCTCGATTTACTGGTCGATCTACGTCCCAATCCTCACCTATGGTCATGAGCTTTGGGTAATGACCGAAAGAACGAGATCGCGGATACAAGCGGCCGAAATGAGTTTCCTCCGTAGGGTGGCCGGGCTCAGCCTTAGAGATAGGGTGAGGAGCTCGGACATTCGGGAGGGACTCGGAGTAGAACCGCTGCTCCTCCGGATCGAAAGGAGCCAGTTGAGGTGGTTTGGGCATCTGGTCAGGATGCCTCCTGGACGCCTCCCCGGGGAGGTGTTTCGGGCATGTCCTGCCGGCAGAAGGCCCCCGGGTCGACCCAGGACACGTTGGAGAGGGTACATCTCCAATCTGGTCCGGGAACGCCTTGGGGTCCTGCCGGAGGAGCTGGTAGACAAGGCCGGGGAGAGGACGGCCTGGAGCTCCCTAGTTGGGATGCTGCCCCCGCGACCCGGACCCGGATAAGCGGAGGAAGACGAGACGAGAGACGAGACGAGAAATAAACTTGTGAATACAGTACATGTTTATAGTAAGCATAGTATCTTTTAACACAGCAAGTGTGTTTTTGTGTGGCATACAGATCACCCCGCACAATTTTTCAGTCGGGTAGAGATCGCAAATGCCCTCACCAACTACACTGACGTGAGTTATGTTAACCCAGAGTGTACAGAGTTGTTTTTTGGCAAGAAGTGCTGATGGAAAACCCCATAAGTAGTTGATTTGCTTTGTCAGTAACTGCATTGTTACATCTTCCTTTGTAATTTGCGTTCGCCCACAGCATCTGGCAAATTCATAAACATAATGGCACTTTCACATCTGGCCCGGTTGGGTCGGTCCGCCCCCGTACGACCAGGTTTTGTTCACACAGCCTTGTCAGGAGCATGGACGTCCCTGAACACGTGGATGGGGCAAAAGGCGTGCGGAGAATTCCGTGTTGTACTACTTCGGGAGACTGATATGAAGCACACAGCTTCCTCCTGACTCACTCAGACTGCTGTCCTCATGCTGCTGCAGCTGGAGCAGGTCTGAGCTGGAGTCAGAGAAGATGTTCACTCCACTGAATCCAGAACCATAATGAATCGTGCATGCGGGAAGGTGTGGATGGCTGATTCTATCCGCCAATCAGAGGCTCACTCTACAGGTAGGTATGAACTTTAGCCGGCAAATCAGTGAGTAGTGTTGTGTCGGTTTGCACAAAGTTGGCCGTCGGGCAGCAGCTCCGACAGAACGGTCGGCTAAGCACAGAACACATACAGACTACCCAGATGTGATCTCGTTTAACCTAGAGGGCCTAGGCTGGGCCAATCCAGATGTGAAATTTCCACAAGAGTCTATTGTGATCAGGGGTGTGCTGTTCCAGCAGCAACGTCCAGAGGACGGTCTGTTCAACACAATGTTAAACTCTACCTCAGCTACAAATGTCTACAGCTGAAGTTCTATAATGTTATACTTCATTCTTGTGCTTATAGACACCATTTCCTCGTCATACAGAGAGGAGAAGCACACCTGTAGGACACGATAGCATCTGTCACCTCGTGTAAACACAGGTGTGTCCAAGGGAGGAGTCTGCTATTCCCTCCTGAACATAAATCCTACTGCTCCTGCTTCCTACACCCTGGACAGCAAGTCCACTGATGGGACAGGTGTCCTCATCGGAGTGACATATTACATCTATGTTCCCAGTGTCACCAGATGTTTGAAAACAGAAACCTGTGGAAATCTCAAATGATTGTCTGAGGAGGAGGAGAAGGAGGAGATGTAGTTGCAGAGGGCGACAAGAAGGAGGGATTGGAGGAGGAAAGAGACGGAGAGAGGGAGGAGACAGAAGGAGGCGGTGGAAAAGGAGGTCAGCTGACTCATCAGCGTATCACTTTAATAATATATACAGTAAAACCGCTGTTAGAGCATATTAATGAATCAACCCTTAAGCAGACATAGTTAATTATTGAGCACCGGAGGCCAGGGACGAACTGCAGCTCCGTTAAATCACCGAATTGTTTTGTGTTGTTTTGTTACTGTTGCTGTAATAACGTGGTTCCGGTAGCATTAGCTGCCAATGCTACCGGATCCGTTATGTTTTAATGTGTCGGCACACATAGCTGCTGATGACAAAGTGCGTTTAGTTCGGTAAAAGCTTTAACGGCTGATGAAGCAGCCGGATCTCCCGTTACCAAGCCAGTGTAACCGGAACAGGTAGCGTTACCCGGCTCAGTCAAATAGCGTCCAGCCGCTGTTAGCTTAGCAGCGCTAACAGAACCTCCACACGGCGGGTGGTCAGAACGACTTCCGCGGATCCACCGTAACGTACTCACGGTTAGCTAACGGGTAGACTAGCAGCAGATGCGACATCATCTTCTCAGAACATCTGTCCCACATCCATCCCCACCGACACGCAGCAGACACATTCCTTTGCAACGGCAGCAGCGGGTACGCGACGTGACGCGAAGCGCTACGTCACTACGTACGACTTCTGTCCAATCCTCCAAAATAAAACTCCATTTATCAGATAATTGAAACAGCCGAGTCAGGTTGTTGGTTCTTCAGTGTTACCTGATTTTAACATTAGTGGTAAATCGCAGAGGTGTGACCAAGTCACTGCTTTGCAAGTCACAAGTAAGTCACAAGTCTTTCCAGTAAAGTCTCGAGTCAAGTCCAAGTCAGGCCGGGGACACACTGGCCGCGGAAGCGCCGCGAAGCGCCGCGAAAATGGGACCGCCTTCATTCGGCGCCCTTGTTAAGCTATTCTATAGACCACATGGGCCGCCGAAGCGCCGCGAATCGCCTCGCGCCGGCGCGCGCCGGCGCTCCAGCCCGCGCCGTGCAGCGATCATTTCGGCGTCGGCTCTATTTTTTTCGCGAGCCGCGGGTGAATCGCGTCAATTCTGGCAGGAAGTCAAACGTAGACATAAGAGGCAGGCCGGTAAAGTTAACAAAATAAAGCATTTCAAAATAAAATTCCGCAATAGTCAAATGTGTTCGTAAACAGACACTGCAGAAAAACCACACGAACACGCACACACATACACACACATCGAACTTGTGTGCGTGTGTGACCACGTGAAGGGGGGAGTGGTTTTGGGTGTCTTTTCACCGGAGCAAACAGGACAGAGAGGCAGAAAGTCTGAGGCAAGCAGTTAGGATGGATGACTTTAAATTAATTATGGAAGTTGAGAAACACAAGGAGCTGTACGACCCCCGAAAAACATGATTGTTTACGTACCCATGTCGGAAGAAACTGCTAGGATACAGCTGCAGAATTGGAGCGGGTTCCAAGAGATTCAACTGGCAGAAACAACTCATACCATAGGTTCACACACACACGCGCGCGCACGCGCACAAACACTCAAACGTAGGAAAAGAGCTGAGAAAAGGCAGAGAGGAAATGGAGGACACCAAGTGTTTAAAAGAAAAACTACAGCTGAGCCGAGGCGCGCCTCGACTGGGGCGCGTCTGATCTGAACTGAGGAGCGGCGAGCAGCGGCCGAATTTCGTGAGCGATTCGCTTCTCGGCGCTTCGCGGCGCTTCCGCGGCCGGTGTGTCCCCGGCGTCAAAGACAAGCAAGTCTAAGTCGAGTCCAAAGTCAATGATGTGGAAGTCCAAGTACTTGACTTTGAATTTTCAAGTCATCTGTCCAACTTTTATTTAATGACAATGATAATAAATAAATTCCAGAATTAAAGCTACTTAAAGCGTCATTTATTTACTCAAACAAGCACAAAGTGCAACTGAAACTCATCATAAACAAAGTGCTGCTGCGTTTAGCAGAACAAGATCAAACCCAGCACAAAGAATGATTTATGATTTTTGTCCATGTCATGCCACTTTTGTGCTAAAATATCAAATATGCTTAAGTCATCATCAAATAAACAGCTGCAAGTCAATTCAAGTTGCAAGTCACTGGTGTCCAAGTCCGAGTCAAGTCGTAAGTCTTTATAGATTTTATCAAGTCAAGTCAAAAGTCATTAAAATAATGACTCGAGTCTGACTCGAGTCCAAGTCACGTGTCTCGAGTCCACACCTCTGTTAAATCGTTACAATATCATTAAGCACAAACTAATAATAACAATCCATCCCATTCATTTACAGCCAAACTTCCTTTTTCACTCTTTAAGTGAACATTAAGGATAGTTTTTATTCGTCAGCCCTACCCCCACTTGGTAATTCTGACCACAGTCTTGTATTATTGAGGTCCAGGTATACACCCGTTGTACAGTAACAGCCGGTTACATTTAGGACGATGCGCATGTGGACGGAGGAGGAGTGTGAAACCCTGAGGGGATGCTTCGAATGTACAGACTGGTCTGTTTTTACTGAAGGATGTGACTGTGATGATGTTGATGACATTGCAGACAAAGTGACTTGCTATGTTAATTTCTGTACTGATTTGTTGCTGCCATGTAAACAAGTTAAGGCTTTTGCTAATAATAAACCGTTGCGGCTACCAGCCTGGCCATTGGGATGCAGGAGCCAGGATCACCCAGGTCTAGTGATCAGCCTGACACCGCCCTTCCTCCTCCTCTCTTCCAGGCTGCTGAGGAGCACAGCTGAGCCGAATCCTGCTGATGACCCACACCTGGATAAAAACGCTGTGCCTTCAGCAGTTGAGGAGGCAGCAGTGCAGGGGTTCGGCTGGCCTCCAGGCCTCAGTTTGGTTTCAACGCCTTTGATTTAGAAGAGTTTTAACTCTGTGTGGTCCACATGTATCTTTAGTTAATGTCAACTTGGTTGACTCAGTTTTAAGGTTAACTCGGTTTAAGTTTAGACTTATCAACTTTGTTGTGGTTTTAAACACCTTCAGTTTTGGTAAAACTTTGAAGAAAGTTTTAACCAGGTGTTTTATGTAGTTGATAATTTGTCTTTTAATTGTTAACCTTATAGTGACATTTTTGTTTTGCATTATTTTAATAATGCTCACCATCTGTTTGCACTTGTTTTACAACCTTTTATCACAATTAAACCCATTTTAAATCCACTGTCGCAATTCTTATGTTACCCCCTCCTTCACATTTTAACACCTCCTGTCGGGGACGACGGGACGTAATATAAACCATGGGTGACCAGAGAAGTTAAGGCAGCAATTAACAGAAGAAGCTTGCTTTTTATATTTGGGACCCAATGCAAATTAAGGTGGCACAAAGGGAGCTTTAGGCCCTGTCCACACGTAGCCGGGGATCTGCCAAAACGTAGATATTTTTCTACGTTTTGGCCTGTCATCCACATGAAAACGGAGTTTTTTCACACGAAAACGGAGTTTTTTAAAAACTCCGGCCAAAGTGAAGACCTGCGTTTTCTCCGTTTTGGGTGTCTGCGTGTGGACAGACAAAACCGGAGTTTTAAGGTCCGCAACGTCACTTTCCGCGACAAAAAAATGCTGACATCAGGTGTGCGACCTGTGTTTACACTAGCCGACATCATGGATGCCCTCAGAGCTGCGCTCGCTTTATCAATTGTCCAAGCGCTTTTTGCTTGTTTGTTTTTGCAAGCGGAATTACTGCTCCTTGCGGAAGACCACAGATGAAGGACGAGGTTAAGTACGGGGAAGTACTGCCGCCTACAGGTCTGGCATGTCCTAAACAATGTATTTATCCGGGTACGTGTGGACAGAGTTTTGTTTTAAAACGAGGTGGTGTGGATGCAAGTTTTTGGAGGGGCGGATATTCGTTTAAAAAAAACCCCGGCTACGTGTGGACTAGGCCTAAAACACTGATCCGACGAAGTAAACAGCAACATAAAGATAAGATTGAAACCTCTATTGATGGTTCTTCTTATTCTAAGTGTCTTTGGGACAGGATGAAAGCCATGACTGGCTATGGGGGTAAGACAGGTTTACACAGCACCAGGATGGATGTGAATGAGCTGAACCAGTTTTTTGCCAGATATCATGATGGTGATTTTACATATGAACACAACAAACTTAAATCGGTACTTGCCTCTGATCAGGTTGAGAATGCATGCCCAGAGATTAGCTTTAATGTTGAAGACGTCCAGCAGCAGTTTAGTCAGCTAAAGCCTATCAAGGCAGCAGGCCCTGATGGTGTCCATCCACGCACCCTTAAAGTTTGTGCAGAGCAGCTTGCAGCTGTCTTCCACTACATTTTCATGTTGTCCTTGTCTGCTGCTAAAATACCTGTAATGTGGAAAACCTCTTGTCTTGTGCCGATCCCTAAGAAAACAGGTGTCAGCTGTACGTTGTCCAATCTTAGACCTATTGCGCTGACATCACACTTAATGAAACGTTTTGAGAGCATCGTCCTTAAATGCCTAAGAGAACAGGTTGTTTCCTTCCAAGACCGCCTTCAGTTTGCATATAGGAAGGGTGTGAGTGTGGATGATGCCCTTCTGTATCTGCTGGACATTATTTATAAACACCTTGAAAAAGCCAGCAGTTCAGTGCGACTCATGTTCTTTGATTTTTCTAGTGCTTTTAATACCATTCAGCCCCATATTCTAGGAAATAAGTTATTGGACTTTAAGCTGCATAATTCCACCACTGCCTGGATTTTAGACTATCTCTTAAACAGGCCTCAGTTTGTGAGAGCTGGGGGTAAGTGCTCGGACTTGATTTTTACAAACTCTGGTGCACCACAGGGGACAGTTTTAGCTCCTTTTTTATTTACACTGTACACAGCTGACTATAGGCACAGTTCACCATCTTGTCACGTACAGAAGTTCTCCGATGACACGGCCCTACTGGGCCTGATCTCCCGGGGTGACGACCTGGTTTTTAGGGAGGAAGTTGACTCCTTTGTTAGATGGTGTGATGTAAATTTTCTTCAACTCAATGTTGGCAAAACACCAGAACTAGTTATTGATTTTAGAAAGAAAAATCAAACATTCTCTCCAGTGGTCATCAAAGGCCAACCCGTAGAAACTGTGGGGACATAAATATCTTGGGGTGTACCTCGACGATAAGTTAAACTGGAAAAGGAACAGTGATGCTGTTGTTAAAAAGGCCCAGTCCAGATTGTTTTTTCTTAGGAAGCTAAGATCCTTTGATATAAGTAGGAGGCTCTTGAATGTGTTTTATCGGGAGATTATGGCCAGTGTGTTGTTTTATGCTGTGTTGTGTTGGGGCAGGAGCCTCACTGCCGAGGACAAAAACAGCATCAACAATATCTGGCTCAGTGGTTGGGCAAAGCCTGGACTCATCTGACATGGTCATCAACAAAAGGATGAAAAGTAAACTTAAGACAGTTATGTCTCTGGAGGATCTCCCCCTTCATCAGGTTTTTAAGGATTTCAGGAGCTCTTTTAGCGGGTGAATGTTAATGCCCCGGTGTTCCACTGAACGTTTTAGGAACTCTTTTATTCCTGCTGCAGTGCGTTTTTACAACATGCATTTTCTATGATTGTATATTTGATGTTTCCATCATAGTTGTGGCTTATAGCAGTGTCCAGTGAATGTTTTGTTGCGTGTATGTGCATGTTGTTGTTTTTTTTTTACTTTGTTTTTTACTTGTCCAAGGCAATTCAATTTCCCCCTTGGGGATTAATAAAGACAACCTTGAACCTTGAAAAGCGTGTTTTGTTCTCACAAATGTATTAGACCTGGTTCCAGATCAAAACTCGTACCTACTGTCAGTGTGAGAACCTGCTGACCAACCCGGTTTGGTGTCACTGTGGCCTTATTGCCAGAGTCATACCTCCATTAAAACCAACCGTCGGTACGACTGATGATCTACATATATAACATACACCAGTTTTATTTTACAAAAAAGAGCAATGAGAATTATTAGTCAAAGTAACAGAGCTCCAACCAGACCATAATTTGCTGAATAATAGTATTAAAAGTTGGCGATTTACATGATTACAGTATTCTAAAATTAATAAAGCTCATGTGACATGCTTACAGTGAAGTATCCTAACGGCATTTGAAAAAAGACCAAGTTCATTTAATTTAAAAGGTTGTGAGACATTTATACAACCAGGAATCAGAAGTGTTGGAGCGATGTGTTTCTGTGTATGGAGTCAATTTATGAAACAATCTGGAGGCAGAAATAAAAAAAGCAAAATCAGTTGCTTAATTGGTCATTTGTTTGTTTCTTTTTTTTGCACTGTAATGAATTGTATGTTACAAAAGCACTAAATGAATTATCTATTTCTAAATCATTGGCGTGTTGGTCGGCAGCTGTCTTTAGTAACATTTTATTAGTTAAACAAATTTGATGTATTATTGTGTGAGAGGGGAGAAAATGATGTCTAGGATTTTCTTCCATCTGTTCCTTTTCATTCAAGTAAATTATGTTTGTTTGTTCATAAAAATAAAATGAAATAAATATGAATTAAAAAATACTTTGTACTTATATGCCCTCCACATGAACCTCAATGTCATTCAAATTCAACTCAAAAATACTTTATTAATCCCAGAGGGAAATTGATTGCTGTAGTAGCTCAGAATAATAATAATAATCAAGTCATCATTGAGTTATTGTATATTACAATGGCTGTTGGCAGGAAGGATCTCCAGTAGCGGTCAGTGTTGCAGCGAAACTGAAGAAGCCTCTGACTGAAGACACTCTTCCGTTGTCGGACAGTCTTGTGAAGAGAATGCTCAGGGTTGTCCATAATTTTCTTGATTCTCTGGAGAATCCTTCTTTGCATGATCTCCTCCAGTAGTCTAATTAGGACTCTAATTAACCCATCTATCTATCTATCTATCTATCTATCTATCTATCTATCTATCTATCTATCTATCTATCTATCTATCTATCTATCTATCTATCTATCTATCTATCTATCTATCTATCTATCTATCTATCTATCTATCTATCTATCTATCATCTATCTATCTATCTATCTATCTATCTATCTATCTATCTATCTATCTATCTATCTATCTATCTATCTATCTATCTATCTATCTATCTATCTATCTATCTATCTATCTATCTATCTATCTATCTATCTATCTATCTATCTATCTATCTATCTATCCAGTGGCGGTTCTACATCGAATTACTCCCCGGGCGAGGCCCCCTTTGAGCGCCCCCCCCCAACCGCCCCGCCCCCCTCCCCCCCCACCACCACCACCACACCACCCCACCTGCATGAACGCACGCATGTTTTCTACAAACAGGCATGTTTTATTAGAACGACTATTGAACATTCATTTTTCTAAGTTGCACATATTTACATTAATTACTATGAAGTTGTCAGAATGTAAAGCAATATACATTATATACTGTATCAAAATATATAGAATCAAATATACAAAAACAAACAATAACTAAATATTAAGAATATATGAACATAATAGATAATAAATATTCTAAATAGCAAAAATATTTCACACATAACAAACTAAAGATAATCACTACAGCATTGCACTTAGAACAGAAAACACAAACTAAAATTAAAACCTAACCTTGATGCAAAGTCATCAATAATGTCATCACATGAAATCTGCTCCCCTACTGAGTGATTGATACTAATCAGAGCCAGGTTAGTGAGCCGCCCCTGAAACATAGGTGACCTCAGGTATGACTTGATCAAGTTTTGAAAAGCTCCTCTCAGCTTGAGCCACAGTGACTGGCAGAGCAGTCCAAAAGTTGGGGTAGATCTCCAATAGATCTTTATCATGATCCATAATATTTTAGAATTGCCTCTGAAATTGTAATTTAAACTGACATAAAAAACTGTAGACTACCAAAAATGCCAACTTTTACAGAAAAAATCAGGTAAAAAATAATCAGTGCAGCCATCTGCAATAAATAAACAGGATAGTTAGTCATGACTTGGGAGTTTTCTTCTGCTTGTAGAGTTGTTTTATTTATTATTATGTGAACATGATCAACATGTGTTTGTTGTTGTTCAGGCAGGCCACAGGCTGCAGTGAGCATTAAACAAATCCTAGTTTGAATCAGTAAAAAACGATTCAAGGACTTTTTTCGAACCATTTGAATATTCGTTTCAATATTTCAGCCCTATTCACTCTGTTAGCAATTAGTGGACCGAATTTAACTGTTAAAATCCCAGTTAACTGGTTCAAAAAATTGAAAACATGCATCATGAGAGCTACATACCTTTATCTTTCTCCTCTTTTTTCTTTTTTTCACCCCTGAATGGGGCACCTGGTGGTTTTAGCCTTTTTATGTTCATCTCTTCTGTTTGGCTCCTGACTCAGTAAGTTTCCTTTAGTCAGGACTAAACAATTTGACCTTGATGGGGGGGTGACCACAAAATCGTTTTGTTTTTCCTTTTTATTCGGCCATTTCCACAATTCAGAGAAACCTGAAAGAATGATAGGCCTCTGTTTATGATATTATGAATGAAAAATGGAAGACGTTAAGATGTGATTGACTTTAGCCATGTTAATACAGTTGATTCAGCCCCTGCACGCTCATTTCATTTGGGAAAGACGCAGAGGTGAATTCCCCCGCCGCACCCCTCCCCTTCCTCTTCTTCATACACACACGGAGCACGTGAACGTTCTCAGTCAGCAGGAGCGCCTGCAGCTGCAGGGGGCGCCAACTCGCTGTTTCCAATCCAGACACTGTCATATGACAGATAATAGAAAACCTCGGTGCGGCGCAGATTTCCTTTTTTTTTTTTTTACTCCGTGCTTGTGCGCCCCTTTTGTGTCATGAAAAAATGCCGCCCCGGGCAACTGCCCTGTCTGCCCGTGCCTAAAACCGCTACTGTATCTATCTATCTATCTATCTATCTATCTATCTATCTATCTATCTATCTATCTATCTATCTATCTATCTATCTATCTATCTATCTATCTATCTATCTATCTATCTATCTATCTATCTATCCATCTATCCATCCATCCATCCATCCATCCATCCATCCATCCATCCATCCATCCATCCATCCATCCATCCATCCTATCACCGGGGCTAGGCCCCGGATCTTCATTTCTATCTTCGCCCCTGATTATTTTGAATTACCAGCGTGCAGTCTTTTATTTTGAAGGATTGTATTCCTAAGAAGAGCGAAGCCTGCTTCTAGTGGCATGAGGACGCACTCTACACTGACGCTTTCTCGTGCTCGAACCCCAGGTATCCCTGCCGTCTCACGCACACGCCTAGTGTGTCTGTGAGCTGTAGGCTGGTGTCGTTCTGGGCCTCGGTGTAATAACAACCCGGAACGATGGTTCGCAGCGGCAGCTTCATAGCGGCTGTCTCTGAACCACTCCCGTTGTAGTGAACACATCCCGCTGACCCCGGTAGATCCTGTGTTCGGGGGCAGCCATGGCTGCACCAGAACCGTCCCCGCCGTCTTCCCAGGAGGGAAATAAACCGGGCTTCCCAAAGAAAATTCTGGCCAACAATCTCGAAGACAAGCATTTGTGCAACTCGTGTCAGAAAATCCTGCGACGGCCCCTACAAGCCCAGTGCGGTCACCGCTTTTGTTCGTTTTGTTTCATCAAAACTGTCAGGTGAGTGTTGCAACAGTTCCAGAGCTAGCTACCACCAGACTCGTTAAACATATTTCTCATTTTACCGCCGCCCCGCATATTCGCACATCTAACACAGTCTGCAGATAAAACGCAGTCGTGATGGGTGTAGGAAGAGGAAGGTCTGCCATTCGGCTGATGCACCAACACAGTTCAGCAACCCTAGAAGCCGACAGCAGCGGCGAAGGGCTGGCTCAGCTGTTGTTCTCACGTTCCCGTTAAGCATTGATGAGGCTGACTGGAGGTTGGAGCTAACGCTGTGTAAATGCCGAAAACGTGACCCTAGTAAGGCCACTTGTTAAAACATTTCAGGTGGATGTTTACGCCGAACACGTTAGAGGGTTGGAATCTGTTAGTCTTTTACCACATTTATCTTGTTACTGCAAAACAAGAAGATAGTAATGAATTATACGTTTTCAGAACGGAGTTTCGGGTGTTCTAAATCATGTGACATGTATACAATTGAAAAATTCTCACTTTGCAATGACTGATGTTTTTTGTTTGAGATCACCTTAAAAGAGGTCATGTAATACCCCCAGAGAGGTCAGGGTCTACCCCGCATGGATAACACATGGATAACTTCAAATTAGGGCTCGGCAATAAATCGAAAATGTATCGGTAACATAATTTCTGACTTTTATCGAGATCATTTTTCTCATGTCAGGAAACTTGATGATAAAAAAATGAAGAGATGTGTGTAGGTCGGCAACACTCTTGTCTGTGTACCACCTGTAAAAATGTCACTCAACTTAATACATGTGACAGCACCATCTAGTGGACAATAGGGCTGCTCGATTATGGCAAAAATAATAATCACGATTATTGTGACTGAAATTGAGATCTCGATTATTTAAGACAATTTTTCAATTTATGTTGATTTTATTTGTTTTTATTCAGCCATAAAATTGCTCAGGGCATAATCAGGACAAAAATAAATAAGAAACAAGATGATCACTAAAATAACTCCTGATTCCCAGTATAAAAAGACCAATATACTTATAGCTCATAGTCTATGACCCAAGGGCTATAGACCTTGGTTTAACTCATTTAAGTCTAACCAGTACAGACCCAAATACCAATATCTTGCAAATACTGACAGCAAAAATTATACAGTGGCATTTATAACAAATTAATGCAAATAAATTGATGTTCACAAAATGTTGCGTAACATTTATTGAGTCTGTCAAGGTGCTGTAGGAGAGTACACTAGCACCACGTCCTCAGAGAGATTAGTTATCAGCGTGAGGAACTTATTTCTATCTATTTCTACCATATTTATAAACTATTTATTTACAAGTCCATCAGTTAATGTAATAATTGTCCCAACCACAGCTGCACCCCCCCACCCCCCAACCCGGTCTCACAGCAATCAGGGGCAAGCTGCACGTGTGTTTAGCGCACCACACACGCACATTTAGCCGTTTCTAGCGGCTCAGGAGCCTGCAGGTACGGTGTGTGTCACTCACTCTGGTTAATCCAACAGGGAGCTGGCTCCGAGAGCTGTTTCTTTAGCGACTGACACATTACTACATCATTCTCTTTCCTAATGTCCTGAAGAACGGTCCGGAGCGCAGGCGGAGTGTTTAGCTAACCTGCAGGAAATGTCAATGACAGTTATCCAGAAAGTAGCTAAGGGTTACCAGAGTTGTTTCTGAGGTGTTCGCTAGGTACTTTTAGGATTTAAAAAGTCAAGAAGGGGGTCTGAAAAGCGGTTGGAAATAGCGTCAAAGTCGCTAAGTTGGCAACACTGTGGGAGGAGCGCTTCATTTGCAGCTCTGGGCAGCGCAAGTGGGAGGAGCAAGTAATCGGCTTGTTTTGTTTGTATAGTCATTCAAACTCAGATCGTAATTGTGATTAAAATTCGATTAATTGAGCAGCCCTAGTGGACAACTTTTGTTTCTGCGCCTACCTGTAGTTATCGTCCATTTATCGTTATCGAGGTGAATTCCTCAATATATCGTGATGTTGATTTTAGGCCGTATCGCCCAGCCTTACTTCAAATGAACTATTACATTGAGAACATTGCCCTTCAGATCAGGTCCTTCATCACCACAGCAGACGCCCATAGTTCTACAAATTAAACCCATCTCTGCACCTCAGGGGACCCAGTTGTAATACTTTGTTTGAGCTGGGGTGAGCTCGGCCTGGACTGGGTAGTGACAGCCTGTCCCCGCACGGCCAGGTTTTGTTTATACACCCATCTCAGGAATGCAAATGTCTCCAAGCATGTGGGCAGGGCATAAAAGGCATGGAGAGGTTCGTAGTGTCCTTATTAGTTACTAAAGGTTAGTAAAGGAAAGGCAGGCATGAGCAGTGTTTTGCTTTTAGAGACTCTGACATGAAACACACAGCTTCCTACTGTCTCACTGAGCAGCGGTGCTGCCGTGTGCTCCTCACCCCTCCTAGAGCGCTCACAGCAGATGGTCAGTCCTTGTGCTGCAACTCCAGTCAGAACTGCAGTAAAAGATGTTTAGACCACTGCATTCAGGTTGACAATGAATCCCGCGTGCGGGAAGCCGCCACCGGCTAATTCTACCTGCCAATCAGAGGCTCCCACTAGTAGGTAGGAGTGAACTTCAACTGGCGAATCAGTCCATAGTGGGTGTGTTGGGTCGGCTCAGGACCAAGCTGAGTGCCAGGGAGCAGGTAAAAAAATATGGTTGGCTTAGCTTAGACAATGCACAGATAACGCAAATATGAACACAATTACCCGACCCAGCACAGACCGAGCTGACCCAGATGTAAATGTGCAGTTAGTAGGGCTGGGGGTAAACGATTATTTTTAAAACGATTATTCTGACGATTATTTTATCGAATAATCTTCTAAGGACAATTTAGACGGTTGATCTAACGATTATTTTTCAATTGCACAATTAATAAAAACCAGAAAATCTCACATAAATTCCTCCAAAAAATTGATAAATTGTTACTGTAAGAGAATAAACACTACAGGCCTTCCATTTTGTATAACACTGCTTTTATTGTGTTGCGGTTGGTTATGTTCTGGTGACGTGTAGACCTTGGGAGTGCAGTCTGCTGCCTGAGAGGTGGTTGGAGACGGAGTGTCTTCATGCTGCTTTGTTTTGGTTACTTATGTGTGTGAGGCGAGTGGCTCGTGTGCAAAAAGGAAGGGACAATAACAAGGGATTTAAAAGTTAAAATGATGATCAGGGTTATTTACAACAACAAAAAAACATAAATCTTTCCGTCCACAGGTTGGGAATAATAAAACTAATTCTGCCCGTGGAGAATTAAAACAAAAGTACAAATAACCTGGGACATCCCACTGGGCAAAGATTACTGGGTTCTGGACCAAAATAAGGATCTCCAAAGGTCTAAACTCTAAACTGGGTGGTTAAACCAAACTCAAGGTGATATTTTAAACTCAACTGAAAACCCACAACACTATAAATGTAATAAAAGGGAGATCTACACCACAAAAACGATGAACTCTGAACCAAAACGTAACAGCTTATCCAAACGCAAGAAGCTGTTAGCGAAAATGCTAACAGTAGTTTTACCAACGTTAAGTTCAAGTTACCAAGTTTAAATAAACCGAAAATACCCAGCAAACAGAGCAGCATGGAAGAGAGGCTGCTACCACATAAACAGCTCTCCTAATGTCTGAAAGAAGCTCCTTTATGAAGGGAGAAACGCTCCCGGTGATTTTCTACATCTGCGGTAGAGACAAAGCAGTGCATTTGACCCCGGAAGTTGTTGTCCATTGCCGGGAGATGAAGGCGGGTAAAACAGGAAAGGAATCTAGTAGCGGACGGACATTGTTCCGGTTCTTCGGTATCTGGCAGAGATGTTAGTGAAGGCGGAGAAGAGGGCGAACTAGAGGAAAAACAGGCAGATTCCTCCTCTATTTACAAACTCCTGGGGATGGAACAAGTGGGCGCGGTGCGTCGACTACCGGATCTGACGTCGACAAAGTTTTTAGAATCAAGCCGTTGACGTCATCGACGCTTCGCTACAGCTTTAGCAGTTAGTCTAGAAAGCACATGAACTGGACAATGTAATAAGACTGAAGTTCTAGTCCACTGTTCCATAACCCAGATCAAAGCCACATTGCCTCTCCTGAGTCACACTTCAAAAGTGTTTAAATCAATACGTTGAACTCATGGTCTGCATTGCCAGCAGTAAGTCAGGCTAGTTCCTGGTGAGAGTTGGACTCCACCAAGGCTGCCCTTTGTCACCGATTCTGTTGATAACTTTTATGGACAGGATTTGAAGGCGCAGTCAAGGTGTCGGGGGCATCTGTTTTGGTGGCCTAAAGATTGAGTCTCTGCTTTTTGCAGTGATGCATGCATTATACCGATCAGTCGTCGTGAAGAGAGAGCTGATCTGGAAGGCGAATCTCTCGATTTATCGGCCAATCTACATTCCTACTCTCACCTATGGTCACGAGCTTTGGGTAGTGATTGAAAGAACAAGATCGCGGATACAAACGGCCGAAATGAGTTTTTTCCGCAGAGTGGCTGGGGTCTTCCTTAGAGATAGGGTGAGAGGGGCTCTGAGTAGACCTGCTGCTCCTCCACATCGAGAGGAGCCAGTCAAGGTGGCTCAGGCATCTGATTAAGATACCTGCTGGATGCCTCCCTTGTGAGGTTTTCTGGGCACGTTCAACTGGGACTTGGGTGAAGTTTATTACCCACAATCCATTGCTGCGGGAGAACAGGCTCAAGTTCCTTTTCTGAACATATGTATTCTCTAATGAAAGTAGTTCATTTTATGATAATTAGTTGATGCTCTAAAGCTTTTAGACAAAGCGGCGTGCTGGCCCGGAGCCAAATGATTCCTACCAAGATGCCTCCATCGATGTTTATCTGATCCCGGGAAAACGTTGGAGGAAAAAAAAATTGTAAGTCGCTTTGGGTAAAAGCGTCTGCTAAGCACATAAACATAGTTTAAACATAAACATAAACAAATCATTTCTGGTCAGGTTCCTGCTTAATTTAAGAACGCTGTAATCCACCCGC